CAATTTATTTATCATGGGGGGGGGATAGCCCTGGAATATTCAACAAGGTTATATAATCACTAGTATAATGATGATTCGTGATCATCATTATTTTCATGATTGTTATTACACAGTTATTATTTTATAAATATGATTATGGCTGTTGGTGTTTATAAGGATTATCATTATTATCCATTTATTATTGTAGTTGCTATCATTATCGTTATCATTATCATCTCTTTACCACTATAGTTATCATTATTATTTTCATTATTATATCATCATTCCTTTTTCCATAATATTTACCATTATCAATTATTAATTACCATTATTATTTATATTATCATGGTCATTGTTAGTAGTATTATCACTTCTTTTTTTTTCTTTTTTCTATTATCATCATTGCGGTTACCATTATTATCATTACGATTATTATCATATCATATCATCATCATCATTACCACCACATCATGATCACATTATCGTATTATCACCACCACATCATCATCAGATCATCATAATTACCATCCCTATTACTATTACTAGTTCTATCACCACTACTGCCGCTATTACTAAGACTGCCTGAGGGGACGGGAAGGGGTACCTGAGCATGCCCTCCCTCCCCCCCCCTGACGCCACAGCACAAGACGTGATCTGCAATGCTATTACTCGAACCGCTTAGCCAACTCAGACTACAAAGTACGAGTCGAAACCACGCGCGCAGCCTTATTTGGTCATCGGCAGAGTCATTAGGATGCGAGACCATATTTTTTGCAAAATACTGAAGGCGGCATAGAGAAGAGCGTGGCAACCAATGAGTATGATAAAAGTTATGCGCGGGGAGAACGTTCGGACGAAATCAATGTATAATGGTTTATCGACCTTCGTGTAAAAACGTGCAAGGAATCGGACACGGGCATTGGTGGAACTTCAGAAGAGGAAGATAACAACTAACAAAAAAAGATACATCAAGCGACGTATAGGAACTTTCCTAAGGACAATTCTACGACTATAAAGTTTTCCATTCTATAAAACTTTTCATTCTCTAAAGTCTTCCATTTCATAAAGCTTTCCATTCTATCAAGTTTTTCATTCTATAAAGCTTTCATTCAAAAGAGGGACTGTTAAAAGCTCACAGCTTTAAGAAAGAGAGATAGAGAGGGGGGTAGAGAGGGAGAAAGAGCAAGAGAGAGAGAAAGAGTAAGAGAGAGAAAGAGTAAGAGAGAGAAAGAGTAAGAGAGAGAGAATCAGAGAGAGAGAGAGAGAGAGTAAGAGTGAGAGAAAGAGTAAGAGAGAGAGAGAGAGAGAGAGAGAGAATGAGAGGCAGAGAGAGAGAGAGAGAGAGAGAGGAGAGAGAGAGAGAGAGAGAGAGAGAGAGAGAGAGAGAGAGAGAGAGAGAGAGAGAGAGAAAGAGAGAGCAGAAGAGAGAGAGAGAATGAGAGGCAGAGACAGACACGCACACATACAGATAGCAGAGATCATCGCCCTGTTTTTCGTACCGCGAATACCTGTAACAGGTGTGCCGAACCCAGCACTGCCTTGTAACATTAGCGCTGAAGTGCTTGTTGTCCACGTCATTCTGGCTCCCTTGACACCAGCTGCAGAGCCAAATGGTCTCTTATCTTACAAGGTAACGATGTGTACACTGTCCTTTACACATCCGACGGCCATTGTGTTCCAGGAGGGTTCTTTAAAAATCTAAGAAGACATATTGATCGAGTTCTTTTATTGGATCGCCAGGCATCGATGCGAGAAAGTGGACCCTTCTCACTAGCGACCAGAATATCTCCTTAGTTTGCACCTTTCGTTATTCAGAGGCATCTAAAAATGTCTGTATTGCTCTATAATATATTAGCATTCACCTACACTATGCTAAAACATCTGACGTATCTCAAACACGTTATTATAATGTACCTAAAAAATGTCTTTATTGCTCTATAATATATAAACATTCACCTACACTATGCTAAAACATCTGACGTATCTCAAACACGTTATTCTAATGTACCTAAAAATGTCTTTACTATAATATATATTCACCTACACTATGCTAAAACATCTGACGTATCTCAAACACGTTATTCTAATGTAACTAAAAATGTCTTTATTGCTCTATAATATATAAACATTCACCTACACTATTCGAAAACATCCAACACCTCTCAAACACGGTTTATCAAGGCTGAGAAAGTGGACCCTTCTTACTAGCTGCCAGAAGGTCTCGCTAGTTTGCACCTTTCGTTATTGGAATGTATCTAAAAAAAATGTCTTTATGGTTCTGTAATATGTAAGCATTCACCTGCACTATTCTAAAACATCCAACGCATCTCAAACACGTTATTGTAATGCACCTAAAAAAAGTGTTTTTATTGCTCTATAATATATAAACATTCACCTATACTATGCTGAAACATCCAACATCTCTCAAACACGACTTATCAAGGTCTAAAACCAGGACACTCGATCACTGGAACACCGGAGCAACAAAAGAAGGAAAAACCGACCACCACCCACCAAAACAAAAACAATAAGAAATCCATTCATTAAACTTTTCCCAGGAAGGTGACGTATCGACACACGCCTCAAATAACAGTAACGGCGATACGGATTGAGATAGCCAGACACTGTATAAGGTTCTCTGAGCTAAAAATACCTCGCCAAACACCTCTGTGGGGAAAAAAGTGGAACTGACCAACCCGCAAGAACAAGCAAGAACAGCAGAACAGGATCTCATGGAACGACACACTTCACCATTATCATTAATATTCTTTTCCTCGCCCTCACAGTAATGATGATGATGATAATAATGTTATTGATGATAATAAAGAGAAGCGAAGCATTATTACCATTATTTTTTATTATTTCTGTCATTACCATTACCATTGTTATTGTTATTATAATTATCATCATTATTATTATTATTATTACTATTATCGTTGTTATCAGTATTAGTATCATTATCACTATTATTGTTATTGTTACAGTTATAAATATTACTGTAATCATTATTATGCCATCATCATGATAATCATCATTATCATTACCATTATCACTATTTTTCACGATCATAATTATCATTATTACTATTATTGTTATTATTAATATCATTATCATTATCATTACCTTCATCATTATTTTGCTGTTATTGTTGTTGTTACTTATCATCACTGCTATCATTATTATTATAATTTTCCACGTCTTCATCATCATCATCATTACCATCACTTTTATCACTATGAACATCATTACAATACATTTCCTAAGATACTTTACGTGTACTGTTACGTTCGCGTGTGGAATGTGGAATAAACGTTCATATGTTTAGAATGTTCTTGTCAATTAATCTCCATTATTCTCGGCTGTCATATTCATACACCGTTTTAGAAAGAGAGAGAGAGAGAGAGGGTAGGGGGTAGGGAGAGGGAGGGAGGGAGGGAATAGAGAGGGGGAGGGAGTTGAGAGGGAGAGAGGAGGGAAGAGGGAGAGAAGAGAGAGAGAGAGAGAGAGAGAGAGAGAGAGAGAGAGAGAGAGAGAGAGAGAGAGAGAGAGAAGAGAGAGAGAGAGAGAGAGAGGAGAGAGAGAAGAGAGAGAGAGAGAGAGAGAGGAGAAGGAGAAGGAGAGAGAAGAGAGGGAGAAGAGAAGGAGAGGAGAGAGAGAGAAAGGAGAGAGGGAAAGACTGAAAGAGAGAGAAGGAGAGGAGAGAAAGAGAAAAGAAGAATAGAGGGAGATACAGACCGAGAGGAGAGGGAGAGAGAGAGAGAGAAGAGTGAGGGAGCAGAGAGAGAAAGAGGGACGAGAGAGAGAGAGAGAGTGAGAGAGAGAGAGAGAGGAGAGAGAGAGAAAGAGAGAGAAAAGAGAAGGGGGAGAGAGAGAGAAAGAGAGAGAGAGAGAAGGAAAGATAGAGAAAGAGAGTAGAGAAAGTAGAGAGAGAGAGAGAGAGAAAGAGAGAGAGAGAGAGAGAGAGAGAGAGGAGAGAGAGAGAGAGAGAGAGAGAGAGAGAGAGAGAGAGAGAGAGAGA